AAAAGCCAAGGCGTCAGTTGCCTGGGGCGGGGGGAGGGACGTGCAGGGTCACCACCTCCGTGCTCCCCGTCCCGCCCTGTCCATGCAACAGGGGAGTCAGCTGCTCCACCGGATGCGGGCCTGCTTCTGAGCCACGATGGCCTCCACCTGGCCCACGACCTGGGCGACGCCAGCCATGACTTGGGGAACCGCGCTTGCCCTGCCTTGGCGGGTCGCTGCTGGCGATCCCGCTGCTCACGCTTCGCCCAAGGAGCACAACTCCTCCCCCGCGGGTGCCGAAGGCGCCCTGTGGCCGTCACAGCGCGCCGAACGTATTCGGAGGCTCTATGGAGGCGTCAGGATGCTGTCGCAGATGTTCGGGGCGCTCTCGGGAGATCTTCGGGCAGTCCCTGATCTCCGGGGGGGGGCTTTGTGCTGGAAAAGGCTCTGGCAGAGGGTTCTTCTTTAGTGTGCTCTCTGGAGGCGTTCGGATGCTGTCGCAGATTTTCGAGGCGCTTTCTGCAGATCTTCGGACATTCCCTGATCCCCAGATCTCAGGAGGGGGGGGAGGGGCGGGGGGGGGGGAGAGGGCATTTTTCCCGGAAAGGGCTCGAGCCCAGGGTTCTCTTTTGGTGTGGTAGACCTGTCCCCCGTGCCAAGTTCGAAGAGGGCCGGCTGATTCATTCATGGAAAATCACCAGGCCGAGGAGAGCCGGCGGATGAAATGTTCAGGATGTCCCGAGCGACACGCTGATTTCTGAAATTTCGATCGATAAGACACATGGTACAGTGAGCATCTTAGTGTGTTGCGGATGTTTCGTGCGGAACGCTTGTTTTGCAGAATTTGTTGATGATATCTCAAGCAGAACGTTTGTTTTGTTCCCATAGATTGCTCCTCTCCTGGGGGCCAGAATTCAGAGGATGTCTATGGCGAAAGGCTTGTTTTCACGTGCCCAGGTTGCCCAGGGGGGTATCTAACATGATAGTCCCGAGCTGGAGCCGTGTGTTTTCATGTGTCCAGGTCACCCAGAGAGGTATCTGACATGGCAGCCACGAGCCGGAAGCACGTGTTCTCACGTGTCCAGGCGACCACGCGGAGCATCTAACATGGTGGCCCGATCTTGGCATGTGTTTTCCTGTGTCCAGGGCACCCGGAGGCGTATCACACAAGGCTGCCCCGACGTGGAGGCACATGTTGTTTTCATGTGCGGGCCACCCACTGGGAAAGATATTTAGCATGTGGGCGGGCTGCGCCATTGAAACCTTCCTATGAGGCCATGCGACGTGTGAGGGGTGTGCCGAACTGAGTGGCGAGGACGCATGCGGGCTGCGACGCTGGGACCTTCGGTGGAGTTCCCGGCGGGACCACGAAGCGTGTGAGGGGTGTGCCGACACGTGTGGGCTCGGACGCGGCTCCCTATTGGGCCACGAAGCGTGTGCGGGGTGCGTCGAAATTGGTGGCGCAGTCGCGTGCGGGCTGCGACGCTGAAGCCTTCGGTGGAGTTCCCCATGGGGCCACGAAGCGTGTGAGGTGTGTGTCGAAATGGGTGGCGTGGGCGCATGACCTTCGGCGAAGCCCCTCATGGGGCCACGAAGCATGTGAAGGTGCGCCAGAATCATGATCATGAAGATGATGGTGATGATGATGATGGTGGTGGTGATGATGATGATGGTGATGATGATGATGATGATGATGATGATGGTGATGATGATGATGATGATGGTGATGGTGATGATGGTGATGACGATGATGGTGGGGGTGATCATGTTTGTGACCCACGGGAATGACATGGCCTCGGCATCCGCGCTTCCGCTCTGCAGGCTTTTTGGTTCAGGAGTGTATGGAAGCCTTCGGCCCCCTTTCTGGCTTTAGCCAGTATCGAGGCGAGAGCACGATCCCTGAGTGAATTGCGAGGATGTCTCAGGCGAAACGGCTGCCGAATCGGCTGCTGGACCAAACGTCCTCGGGCTCCCAGGCCCGTCCCCCCTGTGGGACTCTTTTGTGGTTTTTTGTTTCTATTCGGAGAACCATCTTGCGAAGCGCTATGAGCGAAGAATCCCCAGGGCCAGTTCGAGCCTGTGTGCCCGCGAAGAGGCGCCCGCTTCGGGCACGGGCGGGTGGGAACCCACCGGCGCTGGCGAACAAGAAACGGCATACATGTGATTTCGCGGAGGTCCTCGCGGGTCTCTCGGATCGGCGCTGGGCCCCCGCCGTGCTCTTCGTTCTCGTCCCCGTCCTCGTCCTCGTCGTCTTCGTCCTCGTCGTCCTCGTCCTCGTCGTCCTCGTCCTCGTCCTCGCCGCCGAGGCGCTGCGCGATGAGCCGCGTGCTGGCCGTGAACGACGGCCTGCCCATCCGCACCGCGCACAGCCCGTGCACCGCGGCGAGGCGCGCGCTCCCCCGCGCGCGGAGGCCGGACCAGCGGGGCGCCGGGATCTCGACGACGGCGGCGACGACGATGGCGACGACCCGTACGAGGAGAACGAGGAGGAGTAGGAGGAGAAGGAGGAGGAGCAGCAGGATCTCGACGACGGCGGCGACGGCGATGGCGACGACCTGTACGAGGAGAACGAGGAGGAGCAGGAGGAGAAGGAGGAGGAGCAGGAGGAGGAGAAGGAGGCCTGGTTACTTGATCGATCGCCTCCATCACTCCCTCCCCGACCTGGTGAGCGAGCACTCCACGCCCCAGGAGGCTTGCTATATGCTTCATGGGTCTTTTTACAATAATTCCGTCTGCTGCGCTCACCCACTTCCAATTTGCAGGCCACAGCGCCTAAGTCGATCGCTGTGCATTCTACGACTTCGTGGCCGAAGCTTGTCCAACAAAGGCGGAAGAGGCAGGGAGGATTGGATGGGGAGGAGGAGGATTGGAAGGAGGTGGAGGAGCAGGAGGAGGAGGAGGGGGAGAAGGAGGAAGGGAGCACGAGGAAGGAGGAGGGAGGGAAGGAGAAGGGATGAGGAGCGGGAGCGGAAAGGGAAAAGGGAGGTTGAGGAAGAAGAAATGGGGACGGTGAGGAGGATGGGAGCACGATGACGCGGGGCCCAGATCTCCGACGACTTGTTTGTGTCACATCCGGACGTTTGTTCTAGATGTTGGCTTCTAGGGCCCGTTTTCGGGCCCCGCGACCATCAAGGACGCATCCAGGGCGACAGATTGGCCCCAGGGAGGGGGTCGGGACATGTATGGCAACGCCTTGAAAATCGATGTGCATGTTCGTAGTTGTAAACATATATGCGCATGTGTTTATATTCACACACACACACACATGTGTGTGTATACATTATGCACCTGTACAAATATATGTAGACATCTGTGTAATGTTACCTACACATGTGTGTATATATAGATATAAATATGAGTAGGCCCGGGGGGGGGCCCGGGCCAGAGCCGTCGTCCCCCATGGGCGCCCCCCGGAACCTTTGGGGCTTCGTCTTCACAGTGCCCCAGACGCCCCCGCAGAGCACCAAGACAGCTCAAGAGAGACCCAAGAGGGCCCAAGATGGCCCAAAAGGGTCGTCCGGTGGGGCTCATGGAACCCCCCGAGACGGCCCAAGAAGCCCCAAAGCAGGCCCAGGAGGCCCCCAAGACGGCTTCAGGGAGGCCCAAGAGGGCCTTGTTCGAAATCATGTTCCCGGAAGCCTCTCCCGGAACATGATTTCCCGGTTCCGAGGACGCCCAAGAGGCCCACAAGACAGCCTCAGCGAGGCCCAAGAGTGCCCGAGATGGCTTGAAGATGGCCGACGAGGGCCCCAAGAGGGCCTTCAAGAGGCAAACATTGGCCCATTCCCCCTCGTAGAACGTACATGTTCAGCATACTCGCTGGCTTCGTCTTCACAGTGCCCCAGACGCCCCCGCGGAGCCCCAAGACAGCCCAAGAAAGACCCAAGAGGGCCCAACACGGCCCGAAAGGGTCGTCCTGTGGGGCTCACGGAACCCCCGAGACGGCCCAAGAGGCCCCGAAGCCGGCCCAGGAGGCCCCCAAGACGGCCTCAGGGAGGCCCAAGAGAGCCTCGTTCGAAATCATGTTCCCCGAAGCCTCTTCCGGAACATGATTTCCCGGTTCCGAGGACGCCCAAGAGGCCCACAAGACAGCCTCAGCGAGGCCAAAGAGTGCCCGAGATGGCTTGAAGATGGCCGACGAGGGCCCCAAGAGGGCCTACAAGAGGCAAACATTGGTCTATTCCCCCTCGTAGAACGTACATGTTCAGCATACTCGCTGGCTTCGTCTTCACAGTGCCCCAGACGCCCCCGAGGAGCCCCAAGACAGCCCAAGAGAGACCCAAGAGAGCCCAAGACGGCCCAAAAAGATCGTCCCGTGGGGCTCACGGAACCCCCCAAGACGGCCCAAGAGGCCCCGAAGCCGGCCCAGGAGGCCCCCAAAACGGCCTCAGGGAGGCCCAGGAGAGCCTCGTTCGAAATCATGTTCCTGGAATCCTCTCCGGGAACATGATTTCCCGATTCCCAGGGCCCCCAAGAGGGCCCCAAGACAGCCTCAGCGAGGCCCAAGAGTGCCCGAGATGGCTTGAAGATGGCCGACGAGGGCCCCAAGAGGGGGGGGGGTCACGCTGGAAGGGGACGGGGAGGAGGGGGGGCAGCCACCGTGGTGCACGAGCCAGCCGGTGCTGGCCGCGCCAGGGCGGGAGGCCTTTCCTGGGCGTCCTTCTCGTGGACCCCTGCCGGCCCCAGCAGTCGCCACGACGCCCTCCCCCTCTCCCACTGCCCGGCCGCCCTCCCCACATACCCCTTCCAGTCCTCATGTCTTCCGTTGTCCCCGTTTCCCCGTGCCCCTCCGCCTTATCCATCCTTCCCTTGCCCTTCCCCCCCCCCTTACCCATCCTTCCCCTGCCCTTCCCACGTCTCCCTCCCCGTGCCTCTCCTCTTCCCCTCGCCCTCCCCTCCCCTTTTCCTCCCCGTCACCTCCACTTTCCATCGCTCCTCTCTGCAGCCATTTAGGCTCTGGGGCCTTCTTGGCATGATCCTTGATTGTACTACGTTCATCTACCCGGCCTCACTTTCTGGTGATGCTGGCCCCCGCGCCAGGGGTTGCGAGGATACCATCAATGCACCCGCAGGATTACAATGAAGCCGCAGAAGTGGAGCAGCAGCCTCTCTTGATGAACAATCCCGGCGTAGCAGGCAAGAGCGTCCCCATAGAGATTCGGCAGGGGTTCGTGAGAAAGGTGTACAGCATTCTGACATGTCAGTTGTTGATGACTTCCATCATTTCTATTGGAATGCAGTCGATGGACACAGTTTGGGTGAAGAGCCACATGTACATTATGTATTTAGCCATCGTCATGGCATTCGCCACCGTGTGCCTGATGGGGTGCTGCGGTGTGACTGCAAAAAGGTGCCCGGTCAACTACATATTGTTGTTTGCGTTTACGGCTTTCGAGGGAATATTGATTGGTTTCGTGAGCGCGGCGTTCACATGGCAAAGCGTAGGATTGGCCACTGGAATTACTTTCGTTGTGTTCGTGGCAATGTCGTTCTACGCATTTCATACGGACCATGATTTCACTGGTCTTGGGCCGTATGTGTACGCATTGAGTTTCTGCATTGTTGCTGTTGGCATGTTGATCGGCGTTCTGACTATCGCGTTGGTCGAATTCTCCTACCTGACTCTGCTGTACGACTGCGTGGGTGTTGTTTTGTTCACTTTCTTCGTCATCCAATTGCGCTGCCGCATATATCCGCCACCTCGCCCCGTGAAGCTGCGCGGCGCCACTGTGGCTGGGGCCTGAAGCAAAACATATGATCTCATCTCGGCCTCGATGTGGTGAGTGGACGGCCCAATATTGCTCATCCACGTTTCGCGTATCCGTGGCTGCCCATCCAGAAGTAATGCCTTGGCGAGTTGCGCTGATCAGGGAAGTGTAGAAGCAGGCAGTGGAGCACGGAGGGGGGGAGCCGTCAAACCGAAAATCGGCATCAGCTTGAGCAGGCCCAAGAGTCAACCAGAAATGCCCTCGCGGAGCTTTCGATATGGGAGCCTACTGGCAGCGCATTTGTGGGCCATCTTTGGGAGCCCTCTCGGGGCAACGTCGGGGGTCTTCGAGGTTCTCTTGGGGGCCCTATGCGGCCATCCTGGAATACGCTCGGCAATCATTTCTTTAGGCGCTCTTGGGACGCTCTTGCGTGTTTTGAAACGCACTTCTGCACAGCTCATTAACCCCTCGTGTGCCGTCACTCTCGCTCTCGCGTCATATATCATCGGCTCTGCCGTCGCTCAAGTTTCGGCCCCGACCCACCCTCCCCACGCTGGGGTTGCGCACTCGACAATGTGGTGATACGGCCCTCTGAGGACCCGTGCAGGTCAAGTACCTGCTGTTTTTTGTCTGGGCTGTCTGGAGACACGCTCCCGAGCGCTTCGAAGAATGATAAGGGCAGCATGCCCCCTCCGTCCACCTGGCTTTGGTAGCTTCTCGTGTTCTGCTGCTGCGTCTGGAATTTCAGTCGCTCCGCCTGTATTTGCCTTGACGCTTTAGACGGTTAGCCAGAGGCCTGGTGGCCACTCCGTCTGCCCCCTTTAGCTCTGGCGCGATGAGACCCCTGTAGAGCTCTGTTTAGATGGTCAGTCTTGGGGCCGTCGGTAGCCTTCCTGGGACTCTCGTGGGCCGTGTTGGAGCCATCTTAAGGCCTACAGAGCGCACGCGACGCGAAAAAACGAAACGCGGCACAAACCGTTGGCTTTCCGTACGTGTTCGGAGGATGATGGCATCTCGGGGGCGTTTTCGGAAGGCTCGGAGGCCACTCGGAGCCGTCTTGGTGCGCTGTTGAGGGCTCTTGGAGGCATGTGGTAGTTCGCCTTGAGGTCTTGAGCCATGTTGGAATATCGTGAGCCATCTTGGAGGTCATGTTGGGCTTTCCGGGGCCGTTTCGGGGCCATCTTGGACGCACTAATCCTTCGCTCGAGGAGGATTACAGACCCAGGGATGCGGTTGGGGGGAGGTTAACCTCTCCCCGAAGGGGAAGAAGGACGTTGGGGTAATGAACTCACTAAACCACCTACGGCCAGAGGGCTGGCGGGATTACACCAGGCACGTGTCCCAACAAGCCTAGCCGATACACAGAGCGGTGGCGGATCTTCGACACGCAGCTGATACTTGGCGAGTGGGGCGGGCACAGGACGGCAAGGCCAAGGATTGCGCACAGACGGACCCCCTGGGAGGTAGCCCCGGCTGCAACGAACAGAGGCCGACAGGGCTTGCAGAACGAAAATTCGTAGAAACAAAAACTTTCGGAGCGCCGCGCGGGTTTCTCAAATCGGCGCGAGCCAGGGTCGGCCCTGGAGACGCCGCCAGGGGTGTGAGCGCCGATCCAAGAAGTCCGCGCGGAGAACCGCATCTTTATGTTCACGTAAGTATGCCGATTGTACTTATGTTTGATGGTGGGTTCGAATGATCTCAACACCCCAACGCCCCAGATGGGCGCCGCCAATGGAATCCGCTGGGTGCTTAGACAGCCCCGGGCCAGCCTGTGGGCTTGTTCAGTACACAGGTCGAGGGAAGAAATACGATGACCATGACCAAATTGTTGCGGGGATCTTGTCGACGCCGATCTTAGTCATTGTCCATGCTGGCAGTCGCCGATTCGCAAGGATGATCTTCGAACTGGCGGTGACCAAGATGAACGATGACCAAGATCGACACCGACGTTTCCGACTTGAGTCTTGGTCATGGTTCATGGTTCTCGTTGTCTTTCCTTCTTCATTGGGACTACCTCCGGGGCTCCTCGTGCGCAACCCCAAACTGTATGACGCCAAAACTCCGCCCCAAGGCTTCCAAAACCTACCAAGACCCTCAAGCAGGAAGAGATCCCGACCAGGGTGGAGGAAGTATCCTCAGAATGACATGATGCGGGCGGGCCGCGGAACTATCGACCCCTGATCCTGGGGTCCGTCCTTCGTCGAATTGTTTTTGCTGACGGTCCCAAGGCCCGAAAACAGCCCCCTGGCGTCGAAGTCGCGGAACAACGCCCGTGTTCACAGAGTTGGAGGCCATGGGGCAACCGATATTCAATGCCAGCACAGGAACCAGTTCAGTGTGGACGAGTACGCGTACGCGGCGCTCACGTTGTACCTCGACATTCTCAATTTCTCGTTGTTCTTCGTGCAGCTCCTCGGGGAACGCCGCAAGTAAGGGGCCTCCGCTGAGCAGCAGAGGGCACTGGCCACTTCCATCCCGCTCGCCCCCCCCATTCCCCCCCCTCCCCGTCTCTATATATATATATATATATATATATATATATATATATCCCATCCTCCACTTCGCATTCTCATCCCCTCGGCCTCCCCTCCCCTCCCGCCTCTCATGTCCCCGTTCCCCCCCACCCCACCTCCTCTTCCTCCTCCCCTCTCCACTTCCACCTTCCGCTGACCCTTTTCCCTCCCCCATCCCATTCCCTCCCGATCCCAACCCCGACCTCCCTCCTCCTCCCACTCCTCCTCATCCTCCTCCTCCTCCTCCTCCTCTTCCTCCTCCTCATCCTCCTCCGCTTGCCCGCCTCCTCTTGTCTCCTCCTCTTCTCTCCTCCTCCTCCTCCTCCTCCACCTCCTCCTCCTCCTCCTCCTCCTCCTCCACCTCCTCCCGATGCATCCCCTGAGGTGGAGGAGGAGGAGGAAGAGGAAGAGGAAGAGGAAGAGGCGGAGGAGGAGGAGGAGGAGGAGGAGGAGGAGGCAGAGGAGGAGCAGGAGGAGGATGAGGCAGAGGAGAAGAAGGAGGAGGAGGAGGCGGGGAGGGGAGGGCATCTGGTGGGAAGGGGGCAGGAGCTTGCGGCCGGCACCGTGCCTGCGCAGTGGGCCTTTCCGACTTGCGGGGGCCTTGTTGGCGTGGCGCCCGACTGGCGGCCTCCAAAAAAGAAAGCCGTGCCGCAGTCTGGAGTTGCAGCCTCGGATCACCCCCTCCTCCCAGCCATGCAATGTTCTGATGTTTGTCCATACGCTGTTCCCCGAAGTTACGACCCGTTCCCCAGGGCCTGTTTTTCATCCCGAGCCGTTTTTTGTTAGGGTCTGGAGCCCGGCGAGGGCCACCGGAGGCCGAAAGCGGCAGACATTGTTGTCCCGTCGTGTTTTTTATTCACGACGCAAGCATCAGGGGCGGCCTGACCAACCCCCAGCAAACCATCCCCATCCGTGACGCCCCCCTCGCCTCGCCTCAAGACGAAGGTGTGCATCCGGAGGGAAGCTTGAGAGGCGAGGGGGGGCGTCACGGAAGGGGATGGTTTGCTGGGGGTCGGTCAGGCCGCGCCCGAGAGCATGTTTGGGAAGCTACAGCCTCGGGTGCCTCGGATCATCCCCCCCCCTTCGCTTTCCCGCCGCCGCTGCCCCCCCAGTCTTTTTTGTTACAGTCCCGGGGCCCGGCGAGGGCCCCCTGAGTCCGAAAACGGCCAAAATTGCCCCATCGTGTTTTCTCACGTGCGCCCTCGATGGCGCGAACTGATTCGCGCGTCGCGGTTCGGCTCTGATTATTCCTCATCCTCCTCTTCTCCCCTGGGGGGCGGCGCCAGAGCGCGAAGTTACTCGCGCTTCCCGCAGCGCTCTTGACATTCGCGCCCTCGACATTCGCGCTCAAGCTGCCCGCGGAAGGTCGCGCGTGAGCGCCCTCGTTGCCAGTGTGGCGTGCGGGGCTCTCTATGGGGCCACGAAACGTTGTACTGGGTGGGTGAAACGCAGGGAGGAGGGGGAGGAGGGCCACGAAACGCTGTATTGAGTATGCGGGACGCATGCGGACGGTAGCACTGGGACCTCCGGTAGGGCTCCATATGGGGCCACGAAACGCTGTGCTGGGTGTGCGGGACGCATGCGGACGGTAGCACTGGGACCTTCGGTAGGGCTCCATATGGGGCCACGAAACGCTGTACTGGGTGTGCGGGACGCATGCGGACGGTAGGGAGGAGGGGGGGGGCACGAGAGGTGCGGGGACCGTCTCTTCAAAACGAGGACCCAGCACCACAGGATGGTTGGGAAAAACCGAAAGGTTTTACAACACAGATGTTGCACATTTCCTGTCCGCGCGCTCATGTTCAAATCACAGAAAAAAAAAAAACATGGGATCATGATGAATTCTGCCAAATCCAGCGATTTCAGCTCACCGCGCGGCGCACCCGCCACACTCCTGTCATGCGCCGAGGGTGCAGATCCTTTGCAACAAGTTCCACGCGGGCCACATGCGCACACCGCCGCACGTGCACGATCAGACTGACGGAACATCCGCGCGCGCGGATTTTTTCAACCTTGTCAGCATCACCGCGATCACCTGCCTCATCGACAGATGGACATCCGCGTCGTCAACGTGTTTGCCATCATTGGCGCCGTTATCGTTCGTGCCGTCGCCCTCTTGAACATCGTCGTCGCTGGTGCCATTTTCGCCATTGCCGCAGACGTTGCCGACATCATTGTGTCATCGCGCACGTCCGAGTATCGTCGATATGCTCACCGTCAGCATCGATTCTTGGTGACGAGCATCGGCAGTGAGGATGTTATCATCGATGTCGTCATCGGTGGCGCCGCCGCCCCCCGCATCATGAGTTTTGCCAAACACCTTGCGGGTGAGAGGGTGGGCTGCTTGCGCGAGCAGTGGAGGTGGTCAATCGCGGTGCAGGGTAGCCAATTGCACCACATAGATGTGCCCACCTTGATTGCGCGGCATGTAATGCTCGAAACGCATTGTTTGGGGCCCACGTTCGCTTACATTGAGAAAGTTGAAAGCGAGGAACTTTGATGTAAACTGCAAGGACTGCGCGAGGGGGAAGGGTTAATTGCCCACTTGTAGATATAGAAGAGGCAAACAGCAGTAGCAACTGGAACACAACTGTCTGCAACAGTGAGTTTGGCGATGAATCTTGACAGACCCAAAAAAAGGCGAGCGGCACTTCGTCACAGTTGAACAATTGGGCGCTATTACTGATAAGTTTGGGAAATGCGGATTGGCATGCGCGTTGTAATGGCCGAAATTGGTTTCGGGGGCGCGGATCTGGCGCAATCTAAAAGGAATGTTGGCCTCGGGGGCGCGAGCCTGGCGTGGTTGAAACCAGGCACGATTTTTGTCCACAGGAGCGCGACTCCGGCGTAATTTGCCCAGGGCTCTAGTTCTGGGAGCGCGAATCTGGTGTAATGTATCAGAATTCTGGTTCCGAGAGCGCGAGCTTGCCACAATGAACAAAATATTCTCGGTTCGGCAGCGCGAACCTGGCGCATTTTGCAGAAAGGATTCACTCCAAGCGCCCAGAACCCCAGAGCCGGGAACCCGGGAACCCGGCCACCCAGCAACATCGGCCCAGAACCCGGAACCAGGCACCCAGGAACCCAGCTCTAGGCCTCCTAGATGCGGCTCGATGCGGAGACCCAATTGTCTCCACGCCGACGTCGCCGATGCATCGCTGAAGTCGCCAAGGCATCGCCGATGCAGCGGCGATGCATCGCCGATGTCTCGGCGATGCGGCGATATCCTCCGACCCCATAGAAATCGGCCTAGCAATTTCGCCTGAGCCCAGAACCAGAAACCCAGCAGGTCGGCCGCCAACCGCCATTGGCCAGGTCATGTCGCCGATTCCTGATGTGTCCGCGAGGGCCTTCCCGGTGCGAGCAAGGATTAGGGAATTCCCCAGCCGCTTTGGGGTAGGCGTCCCCGATGGCGGAAGGGTTTCTGTTCTTTCGCATTATACTAGGAGCTTCTTAGAAGTCTTCCTGCTTTTTTTGAGAAGGTTGTTCAGAAGCCCTGGAGCATTCCCAGGAAGCACCCTGCCTCCCAGACGCACGGCGATGCGGCGTTGTTCACTGCGTGGCCCCAGAGGGCTCGAATAATTCCGTTGCGGCTCAAACTATATCTGATTCGTAGTAATTGTTTTGTTTGCTTTGCTGTGTCTCCTCGCTGACATGTGAGCGATGTCTGGCTCCAAGCGCAGACCCGCATCTTCCGCAACGAAAGACACGAGCAGCTGCAACTTGGACAGCAGTGTGGACAGTCGTTGTTGGCGCCTACGCCCACGCATGCCTTGTTTTTCCTCCTGGGAAAGTGGGCTTGCGTCGAAAAAGCGATTACAGGAACTTGAAGCAGCTGCGCGTGCAACTTACGCAAGGGTGAGTGCTGAGTCATTTTGGATAGGTGTTTCCGAAACACCACAGACATTGTTGGAAAGTTTCGCGCTTGAAGTATTTTGGCACCATGTCGACCGTCTGGCTTTGTCGCGAAAGTCCTTGATGCGAGATGGTGTGGTAGCGGGTGCGGAGTATTGGGTCCAGAGGCGTTCGCCCAACCAGGCAGTTGCGAAACGGGGAATGGATTTTCATTTTGACCAAGACGTAGCGGCGCTGGAGGATGAAGGAGTTATGGTCCTCCCACTGGTCTCCACAGTGACATATTGCAGCGATGGCGGCGCGCCGCTCGCTGTACTCGCAAAGCCAACGCTCGATGTTGGCCCAGAGGGCATGTTCCTAGTACCACTGATGGAAGACGATTCGATTGATGTTTACATCACGTTCCCATCTCGAGGGCGACATGTTGCATTTCGTGGCAATCAGCTGCACGGTTGTCCGCCGGAGCTAGAGGAACAGAGTGTAGAGCGTATTTCGGTACTCGTGAACATTTGGGTTCATCACCGGCCCTTCGACTTGCGGCAACTTCGGCCTCCGGTAAAGAATTTGCCGAAGGAGTTGTTTTGCGATGGTGTTGGACGCAGAGCTCCGATCCGTTTCAAGCCCAACAACCCAGTTGCCGCAACTCGAGCTCGCATCCAGAAGGACAATCACATCGTTCTGGAGGACGTCTGCTTCGGTCCTTGGAGCTTGATGGGTGTGAGGTTGCCAACTCAATTGGGTGGAGGAGTTTGGGTCGTCAGGCAGCCTCGCGGACTCATGGCGCTCTCTTTGCGATCGAAGCGCTCTATGAAAGCATGTGTGAGAGAAGCCGCTGCGAGAGCTGAACCGAAGCGCAGGCCCAAGGCCACGGTGGCCAGCGCTGTGATGAAAAAAAGGCGTGCAACTGCATCTCCCGCTGCCACATCGAAGAAGAGATCTAGATGAGGCCTTCGAGCCAGGCCACCTCGCACCCGAGCGCAAGTTCGTGGAAGCCTCGTGCGGTCGCCTCCATGTGAAAAAAGGGGCTCGACCACAGCCCCAGGGCCAACTTCTCGCCCCGGATCCACTTTTTGGGATGGCCCCGGGGCTGCAGTGCCGCCCCAGAGGCCGAGATTTGAGGACCCCTGCTGGGCTGAGGAAGAACAGACAGATCGCCGGAGGTCTAGAGGGGGCCCGTCCCAAGAGTCTGCGGCGAGCCCAGGGGGGAACTGAGAAGGGGCGGGCCTTTCCCGAAGGCTCGCGCGCAGAGGGGGGCGGGGGGAGGGGGGAAGGCTTCTTAGAAGCAGCCCTTCCCGTTGTCGCCCATTGCCTCCCGGTGTCTCCCGTGGTCTGCTGTTGCCTCCCGTTGTCTCCAGTTGCTTCGCATTGTTCCCCGTTGCCTCTCATTGTCTAACGTGGGCTCCTGTTGCCTTTTGTTGCCTTCCTGCCTCCCGTTGTTTCCCATGTTCTGTCCCGATTCCTTTCTCTATCCCTATCTCCATCCGTCTGTCTCTGTAGTCTGGATCAATCCCTCATACCCCCCCTTACCCCCACATCTCTAACCCTGTCCCTATCCCGATACCCTCATCATGACACTCCCTCGTGGCCCCCATCGCAGTTGTGTCAAGTTGTGCGGGAGCTTCTGCCGCACGGGGCCCGTTCTCGGGCCCCAGGACCATCCAACAATAATCTGGGACGCAAAGTTGATCCGTTGTGAAAAATGCAGAAACACACATTCTCGAAAGCCCGCGCGGATATCAAACAGTTTATGTGTGTGCAAAGTGTCTCTCTAGGTCATCCAAGGGTCATGGTCGAGACAATGATACCAGCGAGAGTTTGTCGTTTCCAAACATCATGTGGTGTTGGGTCCTCGTTTTGAAGAGACAGCGCCCTGCGTTCCCCACTCCTCCTTCCTCATCCCTATCCCCCTCCTCTCCCTCCTCCCTAGCGCCCAGTACATTGTTTCGTCGCCCCAGAGGGAGCTCCACCGAAGGTCCCAGTGGCGCAGTTCGCATGCGGTTCTCCCGCCCAGTACAGCATTTCGTGGCCCCATAGGGAGCTCCAGCGAAGGCCCCAAGGGCGCGTACCACATGCGGCTCCCCCGCCCAATACAGCGTTTCGTGGCACCACAGGGAGCTCCACCGAAGGCCCCAGTAACGCAGTCCGCATGCGGCTCCCCCGTCCAGTTCAGCGCTTCGTGGCACCGTAGGGAGCTCCGCCGAAGGTCCCAGCGGCGCAGTCCGCATGCGGCTCCCCCACCCAGTACAGCGCTTCGTGGCACCCCAGGGAGCTCCACCGAAGGTCCACGTTGCGCAGTCCGCATGCGGTTCCCCCGCCAAGTACAACGCTTCGTGGCCCCAGAGGGAGCTCAGTTCCACCGAAGGTCCACGTGGCGCAGTCCGCATGTGGTTCCCCTGCCCAGTTCAGCGTTTCGTGGCCCAATAGGGAGCTCCACCGAAGGTCCCAGTGGCGCAGTCCGCATGCTCTTCTCCCGCCTAGGACAGCGCTTCGTGGCCCCATAGGGGGCTCCACCGAAGGTCCCAGTGGCGCAGTCCGCATGCGGCTCCCCCGCCCAGTCCAGCGCTTCGTGGTACCACAGGGAGCTCCACCGAGGGTCTCAGTAGCGCAGTCCGCATGCGGCTCCCCCGCCCAGTTCAGCGTTTCGTGGCCCCATAGGGAGCTCCACCGAAGGTCCCAGTGGCGCAGTCCGCATGCTCTTCTCCCGCCTAGGACAGCGCTTCGTGGCCCCATAGGGGGCTCCACCGAAGGTCCCAGTGGCGCAGTCCGCATGCGGCTCCCCCGCCCAGTCCAGCGCTTCGTGGTACCACAGGGAGCTCCACCGAGGGTCTCAGTAGCGCAGTCCGCATGCGGCTCCCCCGCCCAGTACAGCGCTTCGTGGCCCCTAGGGAGCTCTACCGAAGGTCCCCGTGGCGTTGTCCGCATGCGGTTCCTTAACCCAGCACAGCGCTTCGTAGCCCCAGAGGGAGCTCCACCGAAGGTCCCCGTGGCGTTGTCCGCATGCGGTTTCTTCACCCAGTCCAGCCGTTCGTGGCCCCATACGCAGCTCCACCGAAGGTCCCAGTGGCGCAGTTCGCATGGTCTTCCCTGTCCAGGACGACGTTCCGTGGCCTCATAGGGAGCCCCACCGAAGGTCCCAGAGGCGCAGTTCGCATGCGGTTCCCCCGCCCAGTACAGCGCTTCGTGGCCACAGAAGGAGCCCCACAGAAGACGAGACCCAGAATTGCGGCAACGACTCACCACTGCATCTGGTCGGTGTCTTCACCAAGCTTTTCCCAACCATCTGGTGGTATTGGGTCCTCGTTTTGAACCGACAGCGCCCCGCGTCACTCCTCCCGCTGCCCCCTTCCTTCCTCCGCTCATCATCATCATCCTCATCATCATCAGCAGCAGCATCAACATCACCACCCGTTTCACCACACCCCTCACACGTTTCGTTGCCCCACAGGGAGCTCCACATAAGGCCCCAGCGGCGCAGTTCGCATGGCGGCGCCGCCTCATTGTGGCACACCCCTCACACGCTTCGTGGCCACATAGGGAGCTAGCTCCATCTGAGGTCCAAGTGGCGCAGTTCGCTTGGCGGCGCCGTACCATTTTCGCACGCCGATGACACGTTTTGTGGCCCCACAGGGAGTTCCACCTGAGGTCGCAGTGGCGCAGTCCGCATGACGGCGCCGCCCCATTTCGGCACACCCCTCACACGTGTCGTGGCCCCATACGGAGCTCCACCGAAGGTCCCAGTTGCGGAGTTCGCATGGCGGCGCCGCCTCATTTTGGCACAACCCTCACACGCTTCATGGCCATACAGGGAGCTCCACTTCAGGTCCCAGTGTCGCAGTTCGCATGGCGGCGCCCCCCCCAATTTTGGCACACCCATCACACGATTCGTGGACCCATAAGGAGCTCCACCTAAGGCCCCAGTTGCGCAGTTCGCATGGCGGCGCCGCCTCATTTTGGCACACCCCTCACACGTGCCGTGGCTCCATAGTGAGCTCCACCTAAGGGTCCACTGGCGCAGTTTGCTTGGAGGCGCCGCATGATGTCGGCACACCCCTCACACGTTCCATGGCCCCACAGGGAGCTCCACTTAAGGTCCCAGTGTCGCAGTTCGCATGGCGGCGCCGCCCCGTTTTGGCACACCCATCACACGATTCGTGGCCCCATAAGGAGCTCCACCTAAGGTCCCAGTTGCGCAGTTCGCATGGCGGCGCCGCCTCACTTTGGCACACCCCTCACACGTGCCGTGGCTCCATAGGGAGCTCCACCTAAGGGTCTACTGGCGCAGTTCGCTTGGAGGCGCCGCGTGATGTCGGCACACCCCTCACACGTGCCGTGGCCCCACAGGGAGCTCCACTTAAGGTCCCAGTGGCGCAGTTCGCTTGGCGGCGCCGCATGATGTCGGCACACCCCTCGTACGTTTCGTGGCCAAACAAGGAGCCCCATTTCAGGTCCCACTGGCGCAGTTCGCATGGCGGCGCCGCCCCATTTTGGCACACCCCTCACACGTTTCGTGGCTCCATAGGGAGCTTCACCTACGGTACCAGTGGCGCAATCCGCTTGGCGGCGCCGCCCCATTTTGGTACCCCCCTCACACGTGCCGTGGCACCATGTGGTGTTTCCCCTAAGGTCGCAGTGGCGCAGTCCGCATGGCGGCGCCGCCCCATTCTGGCACACCCCTCACACGTGTCGTGGCCCCATAAAGAGGGGCTCTACATCAGGCCCCAGCAGCGGGGCCCGCATGGCGGCCTCGCCCCAATTCTGCACACTCTTCACGCGCCTTGTGGGCCCATAAGCATGGTCGGGGGGAGGGGCGGCGATGACGTCGCGTTTCGTGCTGGCGGCGTTTGGGAATGCCCAGGAATGACAAAGGACGGGTAGCAGCAGCATGTAAGTGGCGATTTGCGCCGCATTGCCTGTATACACCACATTGCCTGCGTGCATTACAGCGCGCGTGTACACCTCACCGCGTATGTACGCCGCAGCTGCCGCGTGTAACACAGCGCCAGTGTGTGCCATAGTGCCTGCGTGGACCACAGCGCTTGTATACACCACGGCGCCTGCGCACGCCACATTAACCGCAAGCAACACAGCACCAGTGTACACCACAGTGCCCGCGTGCACCACAGCGCCTGTGTACACCACGGCGCCTGCGTGCACCACAGAAACAGCGTACAACATAACACAGTTGTTGTATATAGAATGTCCGAAGGACTCCTTATACAAAAAAATCCGGTGGATTCCACACAGAACAATTTTTCCCAAACATCATGTGGTGTTGGGTCCTCGTTTGGAACAGACAGCACCCCGCGTTTTTCCTCCTCCTCCTCCTCTCCTCCTCCCCCTCCTCCCACCTCCCGTCCCATGCCCTCCGCATGTCCTCCGCCTGTCCGCTTCGTGGCCCCATATGGGAACTCCACCGAAGGTCCCAGCGGCGCAGCTCGCATGCGTCTCTCCCACCCAGTACAGAGCCTCGTGGCCCCAGAGGGAGCTTCCCCCGAAGGTCCCAGTTGCGCAGTTCGCATGCGTCCCCCCCATCCAGTACAGAGCTTCATGGCTCCATAGGGAGCTCCACCGACGGCCACACTGGCACAGTTCGCGCGCGCTTCCCGCACCCAGAACAGCGCCTCGTGGGCCCACAAGGAGCTCCACCGAAATGTCCCATCGGCGCAGTGCGCATGCGTCTCCCCCATCCAGTACAACGCTTCGTGGTCCCATAGGGAGCTCCACCGAAAGTCCCAATGGCTGCGGCGCAGTTCGCATGCGCCTCCCCCACCCAGTACAAAGTTTCGTGGCACCACAGCGAGTTCCACTGAAGGTGCCAATGGCAAAGTTCGCATGCATCCCCCCCCCCAGTACAGCGCTTCGTGGGCCCGTGGGGAGATCCACCGAAGATCCCAGTGGCGCAGCCCGCATGCGGCTCCCCCACCCAATACAGCGCTTCGTGGCCCCGTAGGGGGCTCCACCGAAGGTGCCAGTGGCGCAGTGCGCATGCGTCTCCCCGCCCAAGGCAGCGCTTCGTGGCCCCAGAGGG